CAATATAGAAAGTTCTTTCCATAACAACGTAAAAATGACCATTCCCTGTGCTGAGAGCACAGCTGGTGTAGAGCCCACCCCAAAGTGCAGAGCCAGCAGCGGCAACAAGTTCAAGTGTCTGAGGTCAGCCCTCAGCGGCAGCCTTGCCCTGAAGTCCAACGACAGGTGTATGTGTGGGGTGGGGTGGGGTGGTGGTGAAGGAGGGATGGCGAGACTTTGCAGCTCCTCCTGTTCCCTCCCACCAAGATCCCACTACGCTGAGGACCCAGGACGACAGGCAGGGGAAAGCCTTAGGGAATCAAACAGCCGGTCTTTCTGTCCACCCCTCCCCGGGGCCAGGCTCCATGGAATCCTGGTGTTCTGCCGGGCCGGTCCGCACTTCTTCCTCACGGTCATTGCTCTTTCAATCCCAAGGGGACCGCTCCTCATTCTACCTCCACGCTGCAAATCGTGCAACATCTGTTCCCGGGCCCACAGGAACATTAGGCTTGAGATGCGACATTCTACCTAATGGCAAACTCTATGAGGACACGGAGTGCTCGCATTTCAGGGGCTACCAGGGGTGGATGGATCTCTCAATCACGAACTGGAGACAAAGGCGCTCATCTAGACGCACAAAATGCAGCAGTTCTTGAAAATGTTTCCTTTGGGAGCAGAACAGAAGTTAACCAGCGCTACCCGTGTTTGCACATCTATGACAAGGGTTAAAATCTATTCAGAGTCGCGGCAAAGGGTAAACTGGTAATAGTGAGCAAAACTTCCTTGAAGAATTCTTGAAATTCATCAAGAAGACATTTCACAGTGAGAATCTGAACTAACCTCCCCAGAGGCAGAGAAACAATTAAATTCTTGTAAATATTTAAGAATAGCTAGTCGCGGTCCGCACCACTGACTATTCAGCAAGGGACCGTCTGCCACGGAGAAAACAAAGACGGGGCCGGGAACACGAGGGCCTGGTTCGCTGCTCTTCAGGGTGAGGATCGCATCCATTTTTTAAGTGGCATCTCCCTTTGTGCACATTCAAAAGAAGTCAGCAGCCAAATTCTACTTTAAAAAGAGACGAAAGCCCTCGAACTGCTCAGATCCTCTCTCAAAGGGTGCCTGCAGGCTGCAGCCTCCTTCTACACGATCCAGCAGAACCCAGGTCTCCCCGGAGGGGGAGGGCAGCTTAGAACTCCCCAAGGAGATAAGGGGGCAGAGCCTTTCCTGAGACGAGCGTAAACAGAGAGATAGCTCGCATTTTAATGGAACCACAACGCATGGAAGTGGATTTCTATCACCTCTGCTCCTTGGTGGCCGTCTGTAAAAAGTATGATATTTTAAAAAAATTTAAATCATACATTGTTGCCAAAGCTTTTGATTTTCTTGACTTCCTCATGTCCTGTCTTTATTTTTTTAATTTATCTTTATTGTTGAAAGTATTACAGATGTGCCCCCCCCCATTGACCACCATACATTTATTTCTTTGTCCATTTCACCGATCAGACAGTGTTAGGCAGCAAGGCACGCCATGGCGATATCCGCTATGGGTCAGAAGCAGAAAAACTAAGATTATTTCAATGAGCTTTTATTTTGCAAAAAATATTAGATTTATAGTAAAGTTGCAAAGGGTTCCCCTTCACCCAGTACCCCCTTCCATGTCCATGATATATTTGTTAAAACTCAGAAACCAAACCTGTTTTCATTCATGAACTCTTTCCCATTCAGGATCCAACCCAGAATTCAGTTTGTTAGGTCTCCACAGTCTCTCGCTGTGACAATTTCTCATCCTTTCCTTGTTTGTCACGACCTTGACAGTTTTGAGGAGTGTTGGCCAACGATTTTGTAGAGTGTCTCTTGGTTTGGGTTTGGCTGGTAGTTTTCTTATGATGACACCGGTATTGTGGGTTTTTTGGGTTTTTTGGAAAGAATCCCACCAAGATGAGGTGTTCTTCTCATCACACACATTAGGATGAACATGACCCCACATGACATCATTGGAGACATCATTAGCCTTCATCCCTTGGTTAAGGTGCTGTTGGCCGAGTGCTCTGCTGTAACGTAACTATTTCCTCTTCCCGTACTCTATTCCTTGGAAGCAAGTCATTAAGTCTTGCCCACACTCCCAGGGAGTCGGTTGGGGGGGAGAAAAGGGGGTTTGTCAAGTCATTAAGTCTTGCCCACACTCCCAGGGAGTCGGGGGGAGGGAAGGGGGTTTGCTTTTAAAATATCTTACCTGCAATAATCTGAATGTACAATAAAGCTCCCGTCTTTCATTCGAATTCAATTCAAAACACTTTTAGGATCCCGTGAAGAGAAATATTTTGGAGATTTATGCAGCAACAATTGTAATCCCTAGAAGTAGCGCTGGGTATTACCATCGTATGGAAAGACACAAACCTTAATCCTGGTAATGATGATGGATACTAGGAGATGCCTATCTTTGTCTTAGCCGAGTTGTTATCAAAATGACTGCTTACTTTTCTGAGCTCTTTTTGAACATCTGATGAAATCCCTGGGTGACTTTTCTTCCGAGGCTGAACATGCTCCAATGCAAATTGTACACAAGCTGGAAATCTATCTTCATATAATTGTACTCTGGGGTCGCACAACATTCAAGTGCGTGTTGCCAAGATGCCGTTTGTCTGCAGGATCATAAAAGCACAAATGAATTACTCTCTTTCAATGGTCATGCATTTATACATTTTCTCAAAGGCACCCAACCTACTAAACAGCTTGCAAGCTACCTTACATGGAAGGGCATTAGAGTTCATCATTTTCATTATCATCTCTTGTGTCAGGCTCCCTTTTAAAATGTTTTTATTTTCAGTTACTGGTTTTTTCTGTTTTGTTTTGTTTTTACGTTCTCCTGGCTTTCCTTAACCTTTGAGCAATATTTTAGTTGGCACCATGAACATAGCAGACAACAAGATGAAAATGTGTCCTTCTCAATTTAAAGGAATTATGCGACCATCTTGCCAATCTGTAAGTAAGGTCTTGAGTGAGTTACATTTTTCTAATTTGCTGACTTACGTTTATCTTTGTCCCGAGCAAATTATGTCACCATAAAGATAGAGCTGCGGTAGTTAAAAAGGCACATCAACATGATCATATTTTCTCCTCAGGTTTTCATTACTAATTTTTTTCAACATCCATTAATATCTTAAGACGATATGCTGGACGCTGTGGGGGAAACAGACAAGGAGCTTTCTTTCCAGCAGAGAAGCTCGAATGTATACAAAATTTCTCAGAATATAAGGTAGAAAACATGAAGTGACACAGAAGCGGTACAAATAAAATGTAAAGCAAGGAGGAGCACAGAAGGTTTTTGAGCAGGATAATGACAAGACCAGAGATGTACCGTAGAAAAATAGTTCTGTAGTGTTGTGTTGATGAATTATAGTGATAGCTGGGAAGGGAAGGATGGAGAGGGGAGAGACAGGGACCAAGAGATGAACAGGAAACTTTTAGCATTGAAGAGCTAATGTGAGCTAGAGTATCAGCAATAGAATCAGGGAAAGATGCAGATCCAAGAAATACTGCAGAGGCAAAGCGAATAGGTCCTGGTGACTGATTGCGTATGGGGAACGAGGGATGGGGAAAAAAAATCAAATAAAACGTTGATTCTTCAAGATGGGAAATGTGGTGCCAGCAATAAAAATGTAGAAGGAGCATTTTCTATTTTTACTTATTTATACCTTTTCCCACAGTGAATTCTGTGTGCGTGGAAAGCTGGCCTACCAACATTAGAAGGTTTCCTTATCTTTATGTTTCTCTTGAGAGTCACTCATTAGAGCAGCCTCCATTCCTTTCTGGGATAAGTTGCAGCATAAATAAATGAATATGCATTCATTATGTGATTATATAATTGTCTTCTTTCTCAGCCACTGTCTCAAGGTGATAATGTAGGCTGCCGCTGCTAACTAAAATCCAGGGTATCTGGAAAGGGGTATGGGCGAGCCCTTTTGTCATACTTTATAACAGCTCACCTTAGCAATCAGGAGCAGCTGTCTACGGAAAAGAGCTTTCTCATTTCATTTGGAATCAAGTAAACTAATAACTATCCTGTTTTCCCTGAATTAGGCATTGGCATTTTTCAGTTACCAACACCATTGTTCACACTTGTCCCTTTAGAATCAAATGGCTTCTCATTTTCTCTGTCAACATTAGGCGAACCTTTCAGTAATAATCATAACAACACAAGCACCACGAACTTATTATTTATGTCCAAGGCATTGTTCCAAGTTCCTTTTACATGGAATCCCCAGAATAGGGACTCTATTAGAAACCCGTTGTACAGATGAGTAACCTGCACAGGTTACCACCGGATGAGGAACTGTAGGAGCCGAATTTGAACTCACAGTCTGGGTTCGGACACCAGGTGCGTGTCGACTCTGCCCCCCACTACGGCCTGCGGGGGGAAGACTCTCAGTCCAGCTTCACCCTTAGTGGGGGGCTGCTGTCTACCTCAAGTTTTCCTGACGTTGGGTCTGTTTTGTTTTTTTAAAAAAATATATTTTATTGATTTTTTACAGAGAGGAAAGGAGAGGGATAGAGAGTTAGAAACATCGCTGAGAGAGAAACACTGATCAGCTGCCTCCTGCACACTCCCCACTGGGGATGTGCCCGCAACCAAGGTACATGCCCTTGACTGGAATCGAACCCAGGACCCTTCAGTCTGCAGGCCGACGCTCTATCCACTGAGCCAAACCGGTCAGGCCGTTGGGTCTGTTTTAATAGAGAAAAAAATCTGCGATGCCCATTGGCATTCTCAGGAGCCTTAATCATCAAGAGTCTGCAGAAACGTAATTCCTTACCCACCAAGACATTTGATTTGCTGATTTTAAAATATTCACTTCCCGTGGATAGCTGCAGGAAAGAAGCCTTTATACTGAAGCTGAAAGTAGTTAAAGGAGAAGGAGAGATAAATGGAGTCGCGTTGATTTTCCAGTCGATAAAGCATGTGCAAGAGCTGGAAAGGTGCATCCGACGTCGGAGTTGCATGACGACAGGGATGCGGGATGGCGGGTGTGGGCCCAGGGCTTCGGAACCAGCCACCGGAGGGTCAGCGGAGGCGGCGTTGTGCAGACATTGATCTTCGTAAAGGTTTTTCAGGTGAGATATTGATAGCTCTCCTCATGGGTGCCTAGGAGAGACATAAATCTTCTACTTAATTCAAATATATGAAAGGGCCGAGTTATTTCTGAAGATCCCGAAGCCTGGAAGTCTATTTCATCAGGCACTCATTCCGCAAATGCCTTTATGGAGAGCATCTCCATAAATCACACGTGCCAGAAAGATCACCCATCAGAGCGGCGAACGTGTCAGGCGGAGGGGCCTTCAATCATGGGATCGCCAGCCTGTACGCTTTTTTGCTTATTTCGTGCACTTTGCTGGGTTTGGGCCATGAAATCAAGCAAGGCGCTCTCTTCCCCCCAAACCCTCTCCACACACACACTCTTTCTGCATCTTGGGCAATATTAGGTAACCTAAGACAAGATGATTTCCCCGGAGGAAAGGGAGAAGATAAAAAATTTTAACCCTACTTGTTTTTATTTGTTTATCCTCACCTGAGGATATGTTTTTACTGATTTTAGAAAGGATGGTAGGGAGAGAGGGAGGTCGGGTGGGGGAGAGAGAGAAATATCGATGTGAGAAACATTGATCAGTTGCCTCCTATATGCGCCCTGACCAGGGATCAGACCCGAAACCTAGATATGTGCCCTGACTGGGAATTCAACTCACAACTTTTTGATGTACTGGAGGACACGCCAACCAACTGAGCCACCCGGCCAGGGCAAACCCTACTTTTAACTTGATTGAAATTATCCATCATATTAAATTGGATATCCTGCAAGTTTCCTAAAAGCTAAAGAACTTCAAATGCAAATTATACTTTATTGGATATACTCACAAGTATATGTACACACACACACACACACACACACACACACACACACACACACACACACACACACACACACACACACACACAGTTAAACAGAAATGAATTTCCTTGCTTTTTAAATCTTAAGCAGGACAGGTGAGAAATCACAGACTGCTGCTCTATTTTGAATCTGGGATCAGTCCTACTTAGAGACATCTAATATTCTGGAGTTTTGTTTAAAGGTCACATTATTTTGAAAGTAGGAGATTCTTTCTTGTCTCAAGCTGCTTAAAGATTTCACCCCAAATGAATTTTTCCCAAGTTCCCAAATCTGCTTTTCTCTGCAGTTCTCTAAGAGAAGGTTATGGAGGAATGGCAGCGTGGGGGCACCTGTGTTTTGGAAATCGCTTCCAAAGTGGCGTAATCGAGAAGAATTAGATGAAATAACCAATGAAGTGTGTCTCAGAGTCTTGTCCCAGGAGAGTTAGTGGGCCTGAAAAGCTGGCCCCCGAATCACCCAGGAACGTGCTGGAAATGATCATTCTCCAGCCGCCCCAGTTCTTCTGAGACAGAAAGTCTAGGCGTGGAGCCCAGCGATCTGCCCTTGCCCAGCCTGCCCAGGTGATTCTGGGTCCTGCTAACATTTTGGAAGCACGAGATTAGAACCACCTGTAGCAGAACTGCCTGGGGCGCTGGTTTGATTTAAAACTGCAGGTTAAAGGGCCCTCCCGCACCGACACCTCTAAGGGGGAAACCCAGGGAGCCGCGATGCCAACAAGCTCGCCAGGTGATGCCTATGCTCAGTCCCAGGTGTGGACCATGGAACCTGGAACCGGTGGTAAGGCCGTTTGTGGTGAAAAGGGAGCGATCGCAGGCAGCTTGCTCCGAGAGATTTCACTCAGAGGCAAGATCGCTGGCTGGAGCGTCGCCCTGAGCTGCGTTTGGGTTCCAGGTAGGCCTTCGACTGCGTATGCGACCCTTTCTCTGCCTCAGCTTCCCCATCTGTAAAATGGGCGTGAGGAATCCCCAGCTTCATCTGTCAGAGGGGATTAAATGAAACGGGGCATATACTCTGCAGCAGGGGTCCTCAAACTTTTTAAACAGGGGGCCAGTTCACTGTCCCTCAGACCGTTGGAGGGCCGGACTATAGTTAAAAAAAAAAAACTATGAACAAATTCCTATGCACACTGCACATATCTTATTTTGAAGTAAAAAAACAAAACGGGAACAAATACAATATTTGTATTTGCATGTGGCCCGCGGGCCGTAGTTTGAGGACCCCTGCTCTGCAGTGTCACTTCCACAGGCAGTGATCCCTTTCGTTTGGACACTTGCCTCTTTTAAAGGTGTTCTAGCCCATCTCAGTCACGGTGCCTTTCGCTGGGTAACAGTTGCCGAACAAACAGGAGGTTCAGTGCAAACAAAATTGGATTCGAGTCGCAGCTCCACTGCTCATTAGCGGCGAGCCCGTGAGCGAGTTGTTGAACTCTGTCAATATCTAGAAAATTCGGATAAAAATAGCCTTTCCCTCCCAGGCCCATCCCAGGGATGAACCGAGTTAACATGTGTAAAAAGCTCTTAACGCCTGGAACACTAATTCTCTAACGTTATGGAGAGAGAAACATTTCTCACAAATAGACTTCGAAACTTCAGAAGGGCTCAGCTCGCAAAGAAAGAATGCAATCCAGTCACTCATTTGCCCACCAACATCGGCATAGAGTGTTAGGGGCTCCGTGTGAGGCCTTGGGGACACCCAGTGCAGAGGGCGAGGCAGGCATTAATCACATAATCATGCAAATGAGCATGCAGAGACAAAAAGGAGAGCTGGGTGCTTGGGGGAGAACAGCTGGGTGGCTGGCGTTCAAGGAGCAACGCTGGGTAGGGGGTGGTGGGACAAGGGAAGCTAAGGGGTGAGGAAGGAGGAGGAGGCAGACCGAACAGGATTATCCCGCCTGTGGGTGGATTTCCAGAAGCAATGGGAAGCCTTTGTAGAGTTTGAGCCAGAAGGTACCACCTTCAGATTTGTGTTCAGAAAGGTCGTTCTGCTGGCAACTTGGGGAGGAGGCTGGAGGAGGCTCAGATGCAGAGCAGGGAAGACCCATTAGGTTTTTACGATAGTCTAGTCCAGAGAGTGGTGGCCCCGAGTGGAGGCAGTGGGCATGGAGCGAGGCGAAATCTGAGAACCAGGCAGGAGAGGCAGTGGACGGGACTCAGGATGAACTGGGAGTGGAGGCGTCTAGAGTGATTACTCGGCGTGCGACTGCACTGGGAAGGGACTGGGCATATTTACTTTGATGTCACTGAGAACTGTCCAAATGGAGCCGTTGAGCAATTGGACATATCCGTCCAGGGCTAGGTATCAAGGTCTGGGCCAGAGAAACAAATCAATCGGACTGTCACCGGCTTAGGGATGGAGACTGCAGCCAGGGGAGGGAATGAGGTTCCCTGGGGAGAATACGGATGAGGCCCAGCCCTGTGGAACTCCTACCCTGGGTGACCAGGGGGTGGGAAGATGGACCCGCAAAAGAGGCTGATGTGGCAGGAGAGTCTGTGGAAATAATAGTTTTCGTTTTCTCTCTTATTTTCCCCTTTCATCCCATTCTAAGCTAATAGCTTGCTTTCATTATTCCTGGCTTCAGGGATCTTGGCAGGGCCTAAAGTAGAAGGGTTCTGAAATGAAAGCCTCTTGCTGCTTTTGGTAAAATTTCAAGAAGACAAAAGCTATGGGGCCAAGGGAGACAGGCCCAAAGGGTCCTGAATTGTAAAGACCCCCCCACTCAGCTCAAGGTCCCAACTTCAGCCAAGATCCCCGAGCCTTTCAGAGACCTTAGATCAGGAGTGGGGAACCTTTTTTCTGCCTTAAAGGGCCATGTGGATATTTATAACATCATTCGAGGGCCATACAGAATTATCAGCTTAAAAATTAGTCTGCTATGTTTGGTCAAGCATTTAATTAACTCACCCCTAATGGCAGGGCCAGACCAAATGATTCCTTGACCCTTATATGGCCCCTGGGCCGGATGTTTCCCACCTCTGCCTTAGATGCAGCAAAACCGCGGGGCCTGGAGGCCGCAGGTGCACCTGGGCAAGCATATTGTAGAGCTAATGAGAATGGATGACCAATGAGTGGAAAGCTCGCCCCAGTGCCTGGGGTGGGGGTGGGGGGAGGGACGATGGCTTCCAGATCTTTGCCCAGTTCTATGATGGGAAACTCCAAAGAACCACTGAGGCTAAATTTCTCACCAGGCTGGTGGGACAGTAGGAAAAAGTCTGAACTTTGGTTTAAAAACATAGAACAAAATGTGATGTTTCCTGACAGTTCCATTTATATGCCATAATGGAGTCTGAGGAAGTGGGAAGTGTAGCCCTGGCTTTCACAGAAGCCAGCTCGTCAATAACATTTTCCAAATCTGCTGCTTTGTTTGCCTCATTTCCCATTAAGACAACAGAATTGCCATATTCTAAAATTTGTCTTGATCAGGTGACAATCTTAATTAATTAACTTGAAGTAAAATCATAATCTAATTGTGGTGTAAATAAGACATATTAAACTTAAAACAATGTATTAATTACATCTACTTTTCAATTTTCCAATATTTTTTCCCAACTGGGTCAATGTTCAGGGAACAAATTAAGCATTACAAAATCCATAAATACATGTGTCTAGAAGTATGGAGTTTTTTTTTTTTCTTTTGCCTTAGGCTCCAAGCTGAATATGCACAGCCCTGGTCTTCACTTAAAATTTTTGATATTTTGTTCAATGTGGATTTTTTTTGACATTAATGGAACTTTAAAAAAATACTGTATTAAAATGTGATTTCTGTTGTTTAGTAAGTTACTTAGCACCCCCTTAAATTTTGCACCTGAGTGCAAATGCCTCACCCACCTCACCCGACTTCTTCGGCCCCATTTCTTGGACACCTAACTATGGACTAAGAATCATTCCCGGTCTATGGGAAAGAAGTAGCAGAGATTAGGGAAATCCAGGAGAGTGAGTGTCATCATAGGAGTATTTCTGAAAGGGAGAGGGCCGGCGTGTCAAATGCTGCTGAGAAGTCAAGTAAGACTGAAGGGTACATGTGTTGAATGGCCTGAGCGTCGCTGGCGGCTTAGAGTGAAAAGCCTGGAGGGGTTGCTGGGGTGGAACTGGGCTGAGATAGATGGGGGAGTGAGTAGCCAGCAGGAAAATTGGAACTGTGACCGTGGAGGACTCTCCCGAGAAGTTTGG